AAAAATCAATTCGAGGGGGGGGGGGTGGGGGGGGGTCTGAATTGAGCGATCAATTATTAGACCCGGACGTCCCAACACTTGCTTCGCAAGACAAACTCAAGGTATCCCCTAAAGGGCTACCTTTCGTGATATACATTACATGACCAAAGCACGCAACGTCGACATCTTGGTCTACGTGGACGACTTTATGCAATCAACACCGGAATCAAAACCGGAGCAACAGAGGCCTTGCACATAAGGAACCTCTTACAAGAACTACTGGACATCAAGAAAGTGAACATCAAAATACACTGCACACAGACAGACTCATCAAGCGGGCGGCAAAATCATTGCAACACGCATAGGAGCATCACGAAAAGCAAAGTGCATCGACATCAAGCATCTCGTCATACAACAATTTGCCGCACATGACTTCGTGCGAGTGTTGAAAATCAACACACTCAACAACCCAGCAAACATATTCACCAAATACCAGCGTTGGGCTCGTGTCCAACACTGTCACCTCTACTAGCTGACAACACTGCACAAGAGTTTCACCAACATGGTACCAACAGCCAATGTAACAGTGCATGTGCGTGAGCAATGCAACGCACGTATGCACAACATACTTGTTTTCTGTGGCAGTGGGCCGCAACAGAGAGTTCAGCGGACTTCAAGCGGAAGTTCGTCAACAAGCTTTTTCTGTCTAAGACAGCAGCATTATGTGTTTGAAGGAATTCAACATTTTCGGGAGTGCAACATCTTTTTCTGCATGGCTATGTCAACAATTTGTTGACAACATCGACCGCCGCAGCCATTTGCTCAACAGGACGGGATCAACAAGCCAGAGATTCTTCAACAAGAAAAATTGCCAGGAATGGCCAGAACTCTTGCCAAGTCGGAGTTGCCAACAGGTCCTTTGGCAACAACAATGGAGCCAACACACACGATGAAAGACACGTGCATCACACCTCAGCTAACAACGCCATTGGGAATGGCAGCACCAGACTTGGATGCAGATGATTGGCACCAACAAGCCAAAATGGCCAACAAAGGGCTATAATGGTGGTTGGCGCTGACCACAGAAGAATTCAACAGCCTCAAGGATGGCAACAGCCGGGCTCCAACAATCGGAGGACAACTCCGAATGCCATTCTTCCACAAAGTGATCCTCAACATCACTCCTGTCAATGCCCTATACAAAATGGTGTATCACATCAGTGAACACCATGTTGTAACAGAAGACGGCAACACCTGGTACCTTTTGGCATTGGATCTCAGCAAAATGCAAGAGGCATTTCGACTCAGCCTCAACAGCATTGAACAACACAGTTCAACAACTATGCAAAGGAGATCAACAACTGGCGCTGTGAGCAGCGCCCGCCGACACCTCCAACGGATGTCAACATGGAAGATGTATCCCAACTCAGTGGCAATACTATGGCGGCACAACAGGGCAATGGAGAGGTAGTCAACATCCCGGTGGAGTATGTCAGGCCAGCAACATCGGGTGGAGCTCAGCCAACACCCTGACCAAAAGGGTCAAAACAACAGAGCTTTTGGCAACAGCATTCTGAGCGGGCTGAATTCAACAGACCAATGGCCAACACCTGCGGTTTGCAACAGGTGTATAAAGATCAACAAGGCATGTCAACAACTCTTTTCAACATGTTTTTTTTGTGTCGGCTGCAATTTCAAAAGGACACAACAGCCGAGGGGGCGTGTAAGTTAAGAACCTACATGCTTACTGTACAACGCCTAGGTCAGCAGCATGTGTCCGAATCCGCCCAAGACTGTGGAAGAAAGGTGCAGTAGGAAAAATCTGATGCATTTCTTGCTGTCTGGATGTGTCTTCTGGATTTTTGAAAAGTGCAAAACGTGTATTTGGTTCAGGGTTGGAATCCTTGACTGTCTCCCATTGCTTTTCTCACTGCCTCCTCTCATCATATCCCCTCCTATCATCCTCTACCCCCAAGAAACGAACCAGAGTTTCTATCCATGAGAACCGAACCGAACTGTGAGCCACCAGGAACCGCGCTCTAAAAGCTTGTAGAAACGAAACCAAACCAACTCCAACTTCAAGGGCACCTTCTCTCGCAACGTCAACTTCTGCTGCAAGATTTTTACCCATTCCCATTCCTGTGCCTACAATGTCTGCGTACATCACAAAGGCATTCAGCAAGTCTTAGTTTTTGTCTAATATTTTTCATAGTTGCTATAGCTCTTGCACTGTGTCCTCTTGGCATGCAAAGAGTGCTGCTGAATATGCCTTTTTGGTAGGTTGCATAGCCTCGCGCGAGGAACTGTTGGCCACACAACTTAAAAAATAACACATCCTTCAAAAACCAGCGTCAGCGGTGTAGCCTCCTCAAAAAGGCTCAAGACGGTCAGCACCCACTTCCATTCTCCAGCCACCTAGTTGGACCAAGGTTATTTCCCGTGCACCACACAATGTCCAAGCCTGTGAAACCCTTTGGAACCCCCGACCTGACATGCCTCGAGGACAGACTCGTACACCGTGGAAGTCACGGGCCGATCATCCTGGAACCCCAATGCGCAACCGTGAGACCTAAGCCCTAAGCCTTCAAAAGCAAGCTGCCAAGTCAAGCCTTGATCATGTCCTTCAAAAAGAAGAAGGCCTCTGACAAGATTGAAAGGTTGAACATACCAAACCCACTGTGTGAAACACACGGAGAGACTGAGAGCCGTCTTGATTTGCGTGGCGTGCCGGGTCTTGGCTTCACGCCCAATTCCAATGTCCAGCCAGACTGCAATCCAGGATCAAAGCCTCAGAGCAACCCAAGGGAATCAAGTGTGATTGACAAGTGTTTTTTACACAAACCAAACACAACAAAACATCACAAAGCAAACAAAAGGAAAACTACACGACGGCTGGCCCGGGAACGTGGAAGGAAAGCTTATGTGGAAGAGGGCGTACCTAGACCTAGTAAGAGATGTGCAGTCCATTTGAGAGTTTGATAGCTGCAACTGTATGTAAGCTACAACACGCTACAAGTATACAGGCAGCTCGCACGTTTCTAGATTCTAGAGTGGTTGCTACCGATGTAGTAAGATGAGGCTCGTGGACACCGCCAATCATCCCGCTCCCCAGCGACACACCGAATTTACACCAGTGTGTTTTCCTTCCCCCAATGGCACGGACTCACGCAAATGCACTTTCCACTGTGGCCGTGCAAATGCACTTTCCACTGTGGCCGTGCAAAGCCGCACGGCACAGCGACATCACAGACGGAATTTGGCCATATAGCGCGCAACAGACTCGATACAACAATGTAACATTAATCACGCCGCGCATCATGGTGGGCGCCGCCAAGTTGCCAGTTCTCAAGCCACGCTGCTTCCCGCACTACATTTGCACTACCAAGCGACAGCTCCCAGAAGCTTCTTCCCACACTATATTTGCACTATACCAAGTTCCCATATCGACGACAGATGCACACGGCTCCACCTTCATTTCCGGCGACCTCTACTACCTTACTCCCCCGGGGGGGGGTCAAAAATGTAACTTACAATTTTGGGCGTGTCAAAATGTAGGTTTTGGAAATGGTGAAATTTGAACATACAGGTCTAAAAAACATCCATCTGACAAGACAGGGGTCAAAATTGTAAGTTACATTTTTGAGCCTCATGTGTGTTCGTTCAGCCTGTACGCACTCAAAAATTGTAAGTGGCGGTTGAGGTCCGGCGGGGAACATTGCCGTCCGGAGCTGGCGGTTGAGGTCTGGCGGTGAACACTGCCGAGGGAAAGACAGATGGAAAGAAAGAGGGAAAGGGAGAAACAGAAAGGACCGAGGATTATTAGTGCGTACTCTCCGCCTTTGCTCCCCACCTCATAAGTCTCTGTGTCAGGGCGCAGCTCCCACTTTATCGCCTCCTGCACAGGCCAGGGTCTGTGAAAACTCACGTCCAAATATGTTACATGAAAAGAAAGCATTTGGACGACTCAAAAATCCAAAACAAACAGTCAGGCCCCTCGTATTTCATGCGGCCCCCTTCTTACCCGTTTTGTTTTTATATACTTTCTCTTTTCTAGTATTCCCTTACAACGGACACTGAAAGGGTGCCCATGGATGCGCATATGCCACGCGAGTTTATTTTGCAGCTGGAATGTAAGGAGTGCCTTCATCAAAGAGATTGCATCCTCCAGCCGGTTGTCTCGCAAGCAGCACCTGATGGTAGTGCCTAGGGAATTGTCCAGTCTAGTTCTACCAATTCAAGCTTGTGAAGAAAGCTTGAAGCTGAAAGATGAGCTGACAAAGATTGCGACCATAGAGGGCTGTGTCGCTGTTGTGTCCTCACCATGGACTCAAGTAACGCAAAAGACGTCTACACTAAGAGCGAGCCTCCATGGCGCCATTCACCCAGAAGCTGCAAAGCATAAGCCTTGCTTCACACACTCACACAAACAAACGAACAGCAATGCATTGCGATGTTTGTCCTTCATAGTCTTATATATATATGTCAAAAATGCACAACTCTTTTTTCTAAGGGCTCCGGCCCAAAAACAATTTTTCTCCAAGATCTGGATGGCCGAGCTGTAAACCACCTGAGACGAGGCTGTGGCATTAATGCAGCGCAGTCCAAATACTTTGTTAATTGCGGCGGCATTCGAACTCCTGTGATATTCAATACGCCCCGACGATAAAAGAAACCGTCTGCCAAGTAAAAAACACATGTGCGTAGGGGTAAACCCTATATAATTGAACCGTTCGTCATGCCCTCACAAGCAGAACGGGGACTCTCGACAAACAGCCAGAGTGCTTGCCGGACGGCCGCAGAAAATATGTTCAAGTTCCTGAGGTTGATCCCCAAGATTCTACGTATTGACGTCCTAATTACTTTGCAAAACTGACTGTGAACTAGCAGATTCGGTGGTGCCCTAGATCTTTTGCAATGATATTCTGAAATCAGAGTCCTCACTGGGTTCGCAAAGAGATGGGGACTACGCAAATAGAACAAAATTCAAAATCCCACATACGCCTCTTCTGAATCCTGGGTCAGGTCGTGGGCTTTCGGGCGGCGAGGGTCTATTTATGTCTTTTCAAAACCCACAGGCTTAGTTATCACAGGTGTGCGTCTGCGGGCCGGGCTATCAAAAAGAAAATTAATATATATCAAAAAGAAAATTTCTATATCTTATCAAAAAGAAAATTAATATCAAAAACGACAATGTGGTGTGCATCCACCCTAAACTCAAGCAAGCTTTTCGACGCTGGTGTCAAAGTCGCATGTTCTTTCTTCATGCTATCCTCCACCCTTGCCACACTTCTTCTCCATATATTGGAGTGGGTGGGTGGGAAAACAACATGGTGGGGCCAGGGCTTGAGCCAAAATGGCGTACTCAGCCCTGGCCCCACCCAGCACACCAAAACTTGTCCTACAGAAAATGTGCCATTTTCTTCCACGACAATGTGGTGTGCATCCACCCTAAACTCAAGCAAGCTTTTCGACGCTGGTGTCAAAGTCGCATGTTCTTTCTTCATGCTATCCTCCACCCTTGCCACACTTCTCCTCAATGCCCAGCGCAAGGGTCTTACATGTTTGACAGGTCACTGAAGTGATGTCCAGGCCGAAGCTGAAATTCGATGAACCGTAGGGCCAGCCGCACCTCGTGTGCCAAGCCGTCACAGGTGAAGCTACCGGTTGCCGCTTGTTCTCATGCACCAGACCGGCCCTCGATATCACCACGGGTGGAAGCAGACCTTGGTGCCGGATGGAGATTTCTTCCCATCTGTCAATGGATTCGTCCAGTTTGTCTTGCATCACTTTCAGTTGGTCAATCTCCTTCTTCAATTTGGCACCCGTTTCTTTCATCTTCTCCATCGCCTTCGTGTCCGTCTCCTTGGCCATCTGTGTCATGATCTCTGTTTTCGAAGGCGGCGTGCTCGTGTTCTTTCTCGTCCTAGCCATGACTGGCATGGTCTCGAGCGCTTCCTCCGCGTATTGGAGGATGACATTGGACTTCCATCGTCCCAGGTAAGCCACTTGAGGTACATGCCATCCCCTTCGAATGTATTGTAATGCTCCTGTCCTTCTGCCTGAATGACCGGAGACCTTCGTGCCGAACAGCTTCCTCCAGGCGCCCACGATCTGGCTCTTCTCCACTTCCCCATCGTCGTCTCCATGGGCAATTTTGTCCACTTCGATCGGGGTGTTGTCCAAAGCCGCTTTCGTGATGTTGAACGGGCAGGGTTCGGACCAATCGCACTCCTGGCAGTCGCATTGCAGAGTTCTTTTCAGGCCCAATGCTTCTTGATCTCCCTTCGAAATCCTCAGTGTCAATGATACGATTCGCTCCTTCGGCTCGATCATGATGTCCTCCTTGTGGATCGCTGCCAGTTCAACCTCCCTCAGCATCCAGGTGGTAGCGAATGCAAACATCAAAGCCGGGTTATGCACAGGCCCCTTCGTTGCTTCGTTTTGCTCGAGCCTGTAGGCTTCCATCCAGCGGTCCTGACCCACTTCCATGGCTTTCTTCGCCGGCCCCCTTGCCCGTTTCAGTGCTCTCGACGCCTGAATGAAAGCATGCTGCAACTGGTGGGTCCAGCTTTCGCCCTTCTCGATCAACATGTTCTTGTACTCGGCCAAGTAGGTTACGCCCGCTTTGTACTCGGAAGATCGGAGTACAGCGCCCACTTGTTCAAGTACATGTACAGACCAGCACTCTTGCAACCCCTTCACGCCCAAGTTGACCAAGATCTTGTTGACCGTGCGTCGGATGGATGCCTTCGCTCTCCTGGAGGAGTTCGCGTAGTATGCCCGCTTGAAGTCCTTCAAGGAGTCCATGTGCCTGCCCTTGTTCGCCCTGAAGCACCTTGCTGTTTGAATTGCTTTCCTCCATTTTTGGTTCGTCCCCCCTGGGACTTGGACCCTTAATGCTTGTGGTAAGTCTTGTCTCCTCGAGCTCACCTCTGCCTTTCGTTTCAGGCCTTAAGTGCCGATGAGGGCGATCACCAACCATTGCCACTGCAGCTCCCCTGGGCTTTTCCTTCTCTTCCCTCTTCTCTCCTTCAATCGTCTTGTGGGTGTCCTTCTTTCTCCTCGTGATGAAAGCTGCCAGGCCCCCTTCGGACTCTTCAAGGTGTCGGGAGTCCCACCATAGCGTCGGAGGTTGAGGGGGAAATTCCGGCTTTTCCTTCTCGCCCAGGTGACCTTCAACCTCGGTTTGCCATGCCCCTTCATTGAACTCGTAGAAGAGCTCGTTCACAGTTGCCAACTGTCCTTCGAGTTCAGCCTCCTCGTAACCAACCATAGCATGTCCCCTGACTCGCGGACTGCTTCCCTCAACGGTGGCGAGTTTCTCCCTTCCGAAGAGTCCACTTCCCTTCTCCTCGGCCTCCGATCCCCTGGTGACCTCATCGAGGAGGGGGTGTCCCTCTCTGTAGTTCTCATCGTATTCGTGGTCTCCCTGTGGGCCTCCCTGTCCAGTCGAGCCAGCATGTTCGCCCACGGTGTTGGCCCCGGGGACTCCAGGTGCCTGTGTCGAAGTCCATCTGTCGGGGTCCTCGTACTCGCCGTCCATGTCCCATGGCTCCTGCCAAGCTTCGTCCTCCATCTCCTCCGCCCCTTTCGAATCGCCCTTGGGACTCCGCGGAGGATTCAACAGGTTGCGTATCCACTGGCGACACAGCTTGTAGCCAAGCCAGGCTACCACGAGGTGGGTCAGTAGCCCGATGGCGATGAGGTAGCAGAGAGAGTAGAACTGCCATGGGTAGTGCCACCGAATCGGCACAAGCGGCGTGGCCGTCAAGGTGGTCGAAGCAACGACCTCCATCTTGGGCCCAATCTTCTCGTCTCGAACGGTAAAACCCGATCCTCAACGACGACGAGAAGCGGCGGTTGACGGCGAACCCGGATCAAAGAAAGGTGTGCCCGTTCGCCCTCCCGCCCAACCTGACAAATCCTTGCACCTTTTCCTTCACGGCTCCCGTCAGTGACGGTATGCCCACGCCGCCAACAAGGCATCGGAGTCTGGCCATTCGGTGGAATCCGGTCCAGGCGGACGCATGGTGTACCAGCCGACCGTCCGCTGCTCTGGCGTCTCGATCGTGATGCCCTCTAAAGCTGCCGGCAGTGTTGTCGTCGCCCAAGTGTCCGGGCGAGACAAGAAATCCGCCTCCTTGTTGGCTATCCCTGGGAGGTGGACTGGCATGATATCCGACAGTCCAAGGCCTTCGCAGGCCACTGCCAGTTCCGCTCTCAAGAAGTTGAGTGCTGAGCTGCTGTTTGAAAATTTTTGTGTCATGGCCAAAGCCGTGATTGAGTCCGACTGGACGGCTACCGATACGCTCACCGATGCCAGTAGCCGCCCCCCCCAGTGCTTGAGCGCCACCAGGATGGCCAGTGTCTCAACTATCCCCTGTGAACTCGATTCGCCGAGTGCGAACCCCAGGAGCTTCGAGTCCTGTTCCACCACTGGCGACGCGAGAGCCTTCGTCACCCTGCCGTTCACCAAGAGTAAGGCGCCTAGCCCCATCGGTGAAGCGTCGGTCATCAAGGTGGCTTCCGCTGTGCCGCTCTTGTACAAGCTGAACTTCCTGATCGGCCTGCTTTGGGCTGCTTTCAAATAGGCTACCAACCATCGTCTCGCTTCCTCGACCCGTTTGACCGCAACCAAGTGGTCCTTGGGGCGGTTGTCCTTCCGTCGAGCTCGCCTTTCTGCTTCCAAGCCCTTCGCCACGTCCTCCTCGTGGTCATAGAGTGCTGCATACAGCGAGGACGTCACCCATCGTGCACGTGGTAAAATCCCCGCCAGCCAAGCCACACGTCCTGCCGCTTTCCGCAGTTCGTTCATCCCGATCATGCCCTTCTTCTCCCAGCTACTCAGCTGATCTTGAAGCTCTTTCATGAACTTCTCCGGCTGCAGCGTCACCAATAAGTGATCGTAGTCCGGGGCCACCAGCTTGAACTTCACCCTGATCCAAGTCACCGCTGCCGCCCGTTCGCCCTTCGAGAGTGACACTTTAAGGCCCAGTGCTGCCATCGTCGTGAGGATCAGGGCAAGGGTCTGGTTCCGGGTTGCCAGCTTCCCGCAGGAGTCGTCCAGGTATACCTGGTGCATGCCTTGATCCGCCGGGATGATCGCCTGCGCAAACCTAGCCACCATCGCCGCCACCCTCGACCACGTCAGAGGCGCTGTCTTGTAGCCGAAGAGCAGTGCTACGAACAGTAGCCAATGTTCGTTGTCCAGCGCCGGCGCCAGGCAATGCCCCTTCTCCTCCTCCGCCATCGCCAAGTGCATGTAAGCGTCCGATATGTCGATCATGACGAGTTCCATCACCTTCGCCTGAGGGTCGGACACTTGGCTGTGGCTCGCATGCATGCGCCTCAGCATGGCTATGGCGTCCACTGGCCTCGGCAAGATCAGCCTCTCCGGCAAGTAGGCTTTGTCGTTGCCCCCTGACCTCTTCAAGTCGATGATGATGCGGCGTTTCGTGGATCCATCTTCTTTCTTCTTCACTATCAAGCCCAACTTCGAGACTGTCGTCTCTTTGAAGCCTGCCTTCTCTACCTCCTTCTTCGGGACCTTGATGACATATCCCAGTT